AAAAATGGAAGTTTTGTTCCACAGCCAAGACCATTTTTCCGTGAACAGCTTGGTCAAGAAGCGAATTGTCGGAGATGGGAGAGGTCTGAGAACTGAGGTTTGACTGTCCGTTGAAGGACAGCCCAGGCTACGGAGCCAGAAAACCTTCCGTGGGACTTCCAGCCCTCATCCGTAGTATCTGTGTGACTGTGGACTCCTTACTGGGTGGATTATGCCTCAGTTTCCCCATCTGTAAAGTGATCAACAAGCCTACCCCACAGGCAGTCAGTCGCAAGGCCTAAAGTTAATGCATTTTGTATGGTCAGCATTTTGTAAGTGCTCGTTGACTTGCAGCCAAAATAAACATTTTACTTTTCCTGTGGATAACGATTTTACTCTAGGAAATTCTCAGACCCCACCTTTGACTTTGACTTAGTGATGTGAGGCTGCAGAATGTCACGAGGAGGTGGCTTTGAACCTCGCTGTGGAGTCTCATGTCTGCTACCAAGGAGCCAAATTCAACCCTCCCTCCAACTCCACAAAAGTAACTCAACACCCAGCCCTGTATGGTTAGTTCCATGAAAAGTCATCCATGCATTCAGCAAATATTTAACGTGCATATAAGACTCCGAGTTAGCCACCAGGAATACAAAGATTAATAAAAATGTTTCTGCCCAAAGAAGCTTTCTAGTAGAGGCATAACTGTGTGCACACACACACAACACATACACACTCATACACACGCATGCACACAACATACACTCATACACACAATACATGCACACTCATACACATACACACAACACATTCACACACACATATACACATACACAACAAATACATAAATAGATACAACACATACACACAACACAACATACACTTACACATGTATACACAACATATATATACATACTCGTACACATGCATACACACATATAATACACAGTTATACACACATACAAAACGCATGCACACACAACACATACACTCATACAGACACATACAAAACACATTCACAGCCATACACACACACACAAAACACATTCACAGTTACAAACACAGACACACACACAAAACATTCACAACCAGACACACAGACACACACACATACAAAACACATTCACAGTTACACACACAGACACACACACAAAACACATTCATAGTCAGACACACACACAACACATTCAGTCATACACACACACACAAAAAACACATTCACAGTCATACACACAGACACACACACACAAAACACATTCACAGCCATACAGACACACACACAACACACTCATAGTCATACACACACACAAAACACATTCACAGTCATACACACAGACACACACAAAAAACATGTTCACAGTCATACACACAGATACACACACAAAACACGCTCACAGTCATACACACAGACACACACACACAAAACACATTCACAGTCATACAGACACACACACACAAAACGCGTTCACAGTCATACACACAGACACACACACATAAAACATGGTCACAGTCATACACACAGACACATACATGCAAAACACATTCACAGTCATTCAGTGAAAACGTGATAGTAGAAAAGGGTTATGCAGATAAAGAGATTGTTATGAAAATAAAAATAAACTAAAAAATATTACTCATTTCTAGTAGAATTAAAATTAGATAATTAGTCATAAAAAATAGAACAAGTTGCTTTTTCCGTCTCAACAGAATAGTCACTGGGTCCGAGCTGCTTTTGACACTGTGACCCAGAGTCTCACAGACACGCTGTGCCCTCCTGTGTTCTTCATTCATGGATCCTCTCTGCTGAGTGGTCACAGCATCTCCCACTGGGGACGAGGAACTAGGAAAAGTACAGATCTCAAATCCTGCACCCTCTTGGATACCTTATCTCATCTCTTCTCTGTATAAAGTACTCAATGAAGGAATTGAGCACATCAAAATATGTCTTGAAAACTGACACATTGTACTTTTCATTCCACAAAAGACCAACACCTATATCATCCCCTTTGAGCGTGATGATGACCTTTGAAGGCAATAGCTCAAGTTTCAAGGGAAGGTCAACACGAGTGAGAACACAGAAGACAACAGCAGGACTAACTAACTGTAGAGCATTCGATCTCGGCTTCGGTTGATCCAGGGAGCAGGGATCACGTTCAGAGCAGGGTCAGCAAAGTCAGCGTAAACCCTCGAGGCATATGCAACAGTTCATACTCAACACCGGACGAGGACTGTGCCTCTAAGGTCTGGGCCAGGAGGTTCTCAGAAACTCCGTCGCGCTGCATCAGCTGGAGACTTTTCTAGAAGAAAAAAGAGAACATTACTTTCAACAGCAAAAAGTGACACTTCTCAGAAAAATATTTCTAAAACCACTAGAGAATACATGGGTGTGCTAGACCAAGAATATAGTGTCCATTTTAAGCAACAGTCCATTTATGTGACATTAACAAAAAATAAACACAATGACCGAAAATTGAGAAAGTTCAGCTTTAGGGAAAGTTGTAAGATTTGGAACAGTTTTCAATGCACAGTTGATCCTTGATCAACACAGGGGTTAGAGACACTGACCCCGCAGTCAAAAGTCCACAGGTAACTTCTCACTCATCAAAAATGTAGCTATAATAGACTGCTGTGGACTGAAGTCTTACCAATAACACAAGCACTTAATTAATATATATTTTCATGTGATGAGTATTATATACTGTATTCTTAAATAAAACAATCTAGAGAAACAGAAATGCTATTAAGAACATCATAAGGGAGATAAAGCACATTTACAGTACTGTATGTGTTTATTGAAAATAAAATTGACCTATGATTGGACTCACACGGTTTAAACCCATATTGTTCAAGAGTCAGCTGTATGGGACAATAATTGTCCAATCCGGAATGTCCACTTCTCTCTCTCTCTCTCTCTTGAAATATCAACCCTAGCCCTGGCCAGCTTGGCTCAGTGGTTAGAGCATCGCCCTGCAGACCAGAGAGTCGTGGGTTTGATTCTGATCAAGGGCACCTCAGTCGCGGTTCATCCCCCGCCCTGGTTGGGGTTGTGCAGGAGGCAACCAGTTGATGTGTCCTTCTCATGTCAATGTTTCTCTCTCCCTCCCTCCCTCCCACTCTACAAGAAAAAGGAAACACCAACCCCAGGACTTGAGAGCCAGGGCAGTTGAACAGGAAGCATCATCACCTGGACTGGCTGGAAGTGAGGGGGCAGGTGACAAGTACCTGAAACACTCTCAGGAGAAAGAGACTGAGGGTCCAAGCAGAGTATCCAGATCCACTGTGCAGTCAAAGGACCAGTGGTGGTGGGGGTGGCGGGGTGGAGCTCAGGGTGTGATTCACGGCAGAGGACGCCAAAGTTTGCAGTGCTCAGACCAGTCTGCCCATCACAGCCTCTTCTCAGCGGGCGCTGGCCACGGGCAGGGAGCTCAGGCAGCCTGGACTGAAGGTCTGGAACTGGAGAGGCCAGTGATGTGTGGAAGGGAGGCAGGGTGAACGGAGCCCAGCAATATTCTCTGTTTGGGGATTTTTGTTTGTTTCTTATTGAAATATTTTTGACATATAGCATGATATAAATTTAAGGTGTACAACATGTTCATTGAGTACATTGATACATTGTAATATCATGGCCATTACAGTGACAGTTAACACCTCTATCGGGTTACACAGTGGCTCTTTTCAGTGGTTGGAATAATCAAGATCGAGTCTCTTAGCAAGTTTGATGGCTACACTATAATATTGTCTACACTCTCTATACGGCGCATTGGGTCTCTGGGGCTTATTTGCTACCTGTTGCAAATTCACGCCCTTAAACAACATCTGTCCTATCTTCTCCTAGAAACTGCCAGTTCACTCTCTGTTTTTACAAGTTTGGCTGCTTAGATTCCACATATAAGTAACATCATCCAGTACTTGCCTTTCTCTGTCCGACTTGTCTCACTGCAGTAGAACAGGCTCCAGACCAATAGCAGTTAAGTGCGGGTGCTTGGGGTCTTTCTTCTCATCTAGCTACTTGGATCATCTTCCCTACATTAAACCATTGTTTTAAAAAAATTGTAACTCCCTAGTTCCCTGTTTAATCCAGGTGGTAATTTTCTAGATTTAGGACAAATAATCCTGGTGCAGTTTCATCGGCACCTCTTGAGAGTTTCCGTGGAACTTTCTCTGCTTCCTCCGCTGAGCATTTCTCATTTGCAAATGACTGGACAGGCTGAGTGACCACCCCGACTCTGAGAGTTACGCAGAGACCCAGCTGTGAGGGTGGGGGGACCAAGGCTCGCGGAGGTTCTCACTTCACCGCCCGCTTCCCAGAGTTCGCCCAGGAGGCAGCTCGAGGCCGAACCCAGGCCACCCAGCACCAGAACCTGATTCTCGGCCATGCGGTGAACCCCACCTGCCAACAGGATTTAGACTACAAGGTCAGAGGACCGTCCACATGATATGCTGTGTGGAAGATAACATACCTGCTTTTGTGCTTTTCCCTCTGTGAGTGTTTCTCCCTTTTACTCAGGTTTGAACTTGACAATGAGCTTTTTCATCCTCCTGTTTTGAATGAACAAGTCTGTGTTCTCCCTGACTCTTGTCCCCCCTTTTATGGTGTATGGTCCCCCAGAGAGAACATCCTTATCAGAAAGGACTACATACAGGGTGGGACAAAAGTAGGTTCACAGTTGTTCATAGGGAAAATAATGCAGTAACTAATAAATAATAACAGGTAAACTAAGCCTCCTTTGGCCACCCTGTTAGCCAGAAGGCTCCATCTGTTTCTGTAAATCTTTGCTTACCTCCTAGTATCACCTGGATTCCCCATATTCTTCTAACTCATTAGAAAACTAAATAAACATACACGTAAACTAGATACATGAACATAACATAGGTGCCTGGGGAAATCCGACTGGAGCTAAGGGCCTCAGCTCTCGCGCCCGTGAGGGAAGGGTTGGCCTCTGAAAGGTTCCGTCGCTGCCCACGGTTTCTCCACGTGGCTCCTGAGCAGCCCAAGGCAGTAGCCGTTTGCTTTCTCCCCCCAGAAGCGCAGAAGAAGCAGCTGGAAGAGAACATAGAGCTGACCCAAGAGGAGTGCGTGTCGGAGACCGCAGACCACTCTGCAGAGGAGCCCGCGGAAGGGGGCCCGGACGCGGACGGGGAGGAGCTGGCCGACGGCGCGGAGGAGGACTTCGATGAAGACGGGGGTCACGAGCTGGTAGGAACTGAGCCTCCGGTGCCCACACCCTTTGGGAGCAGCACCGGCACGTCAGCAGCTCCTTCGTTTAGATGAAATATTTGGGGCTGGTCCCTCTCTCCTGTGCGTTGACCTGAGGCCCCACCAGCCCAGTGCTGTGCCCATGAGTGCTCAGTGCACCTGCTGACCCACAGCAAAGGGGGGGGGTGAGGCGGCCTTCGGTCTGGAAGCAGGTTCTCTGCCCCAGATGCTCCACCGAGAAGGAGATCCTGTGTCTGTTACGCATGAACTGCACATGGATAGAATATCCTGGTGACACGACCATTCACAGGAAGACACTCGGTGCCCCCATATCTAAGCGTCACTCACTGAGGACAGCTGTCTGTACTGGTCACAGGGCAGCAGTCCCCCCGACTCCCTCACTGAGGGGACCCTCCAGCTTACGGCCAGTCCCCAGCTCTGCACTGTGCCGCTGCGTGGCCAGTTCGTGTCCCTCAGCACTGGGGACGTGGCTGAGACTTCACAGGTTGCGTGTTTCGTTTTCCCAGTGTTGCCATCATTGCGCTGCTCATTCCAGAAGCCCTTTTCTGTAGAAGGCACTGGGGACTTGGTAAATATATGCTGATGAGGCTGCTCGTTCTCATATTTTATCAACCATGAAATTAAATGTTATGTCTTAAGGGACTAATAACAGTGATGAGAGGGCTCGCGCGTGTGTGTGTGCACATGTGCGTGGCCAACTCTCAAATATCTGTGGATAGTCACTGAACCCGCCTCGCCCCACGCCGTGTCACATCCTACTTTGTTGTGATGCCTACGAATTGCCCCTTCCAAATTTTGCCGTGGTGCTGGTTTTGTCATGAGAACCACCCTCTCGATCGTTTTATTTACATAACTCTGTATCCATTTTTAACATTGTAGCTCTGTTTAAATTGCAGGGCACTTTCAGGTTTTTATTTTTTTATTTTTTTATCTTCACCCAAAGACATCTTTGAATTTATCTTCAGATAGAGTGGGAGGGAGAGAGGGGAAAGAGAGAGAGAGAAACATCGATGTGAGAGAGACACACTGAGTGGCTGCCACCCACACGACCCCAACCGGGGCCGGGGACAAACTGCAACCAAGGTACGTTACCTTAGCGAGAACCGAACCCGGGACTCTCTGGTCCCCGGGCCAACGCTCTAACTGCTGAGCAAACTGACCAGGGGAGGGCACTTTCATTTAAACTTTCCCAAGATCAGCCTTTAACAACCACTCTTATTTCTGCAAAAGTCTGTATCAGTTTGAAGGACGTAAGGACCTTCCTTAGGACGGTTCTCGTGGGTGCTGCGCAGGGACCACAGTGGACTAGGGACGGACGACCTTTCTCAGCGGCTCCTCAGGCAGGACTGGCCTCCCCGGCGCCGCTTCCTCCGCTGCCCCCGTCAGACTCCCCCACCGTCCCCTCGGGGCCGCGCGCTGGCGTCGCTGTGGGCCCCCATGCTGCCCTGCCCAGTGGTCACCTCTCTGTTCTCATTTTAGTTCACTTCTCAGAAGAATTTGGCTGAGAATTGGTTACCAGTTGCTTGCTTTCCTCCCCTAGCAACTTTCCCTGCTGACCCCCACTTTATTTACTTGTTTTTTTCTTTATTGAATTTTAAAGGGAGAGGGAGAGAGAGATGGAAGCATGGATGAGAGAGAACATCGATCAGCCGCCTCCTGCACGCCCCCCACTGGGGATCAGGCCCACAACCTGGGCATGTGCCCTGACCGGTATTTGAACCAGCGACCTCTTGGTGCAGGGTCGACGCTCAACCGCTGAGCCTCACCGGCCGGGCCAGACCCCCACTTTAAGTATTGCCACAGCCCAGCCAAGGGGCCGCCTCCTCCTTCGGGACACTTCCCCAAGGTGACCCCATCCAATACCAGCGCTTTAAATAGCATCCATAGGCCAAAGATTTCTAGATCTAAATTTCTATTCCTGATCTCCTCCTGGAATTCTAGACTCAAGAATTTAAATGCTCGTCCCCTCACAGATCTCAGGAAACAGCTGAAATGTAACAAGCCAGAAGGAGACTTGACTTTTTCCAGTCGTCTGTTCCTCCCCGTCTCCCTCATTCTGGTAAAAAAGAAATGTCATCATCCATGCAGTTTAAAACCAAAAGGCTAGGGTCACCGCTGAGTGTCTGCACCCTCCCCATTCATTCCACCTCCAAGTCACAGCCCACCCCCCCACCCCCCATGCCAGCCATGCCATCCGCTCTCCACACGGAAAGATGAAAGTCTGTGTCGACGACGCGCTGGTCATGCTCCCCCCTCGCTCAAACCCGGCAGTGCTCCGGGTCACACCTAGAGTCACAGTCGCCAGCACGCGACCGTGGATGGGGACACGCTGGGAGGAGCCCGCGGCTGGAGGGCACTTGGTGAAGACAGAGGGGGAGTGCAGAGCTGCTGACAGCGCCCCTGAAGGAGGGTGGCTCCAGGAGCGACGCCCGGAGCGTGGGCCTGGCACAGAGTGGGCCTCACTGAACTGTCACTCAGTGTTTGTGCTGTGCTCGGGGGCATTTGGGGCCTTGTGTGTGCTTGGCTGTGCCATCCCTCTAACACCATTCAATGAACTTTGTGAGCCCTGGTGTGTCTGTGCCGACCCATGCAGGGTGTAAATTAGGTCAAAGTCATACTAATGACAAAAGTCTCTCAGGTTCATAGGAACCCTGCATAGTTTTAGTTCTGTGTCCCCCCACCCCCAGGCTCTCCCAGGAAGTGTCTCAGCTTCATCCTGAACGTGGCTGACCATGTGCTCCCCTGCCTGGCCTGCCCCTGTGTCCACTCGGGGCACCGTCCTGCCACAGCCACGCTGCTCTCTGGCCAGAGGGCCAGCTGCCTCTTTCTTTGCACCTGGCGGTCTGTGAAACACTGTCTTATACCTGCGTGGACACGCTCTTCCTTCTGCCTCCAAAACCCTTCCCCACTCGTTATTTTGTCTGACTGGTCAATACACCCCATTGTCGTCTGTCATGACTTCATTCCTGAACAGGCCCCCGATCTGTCCTGGACACTTGGGGTTCGCTTCTCTCGTTAGACCACACTCTGTATACATCTCATCCTCCTGTGACGAGTGACTGCTTCTTTCTGGGCCACTGGTTTGTGAATTCCTCGGGGCTTATTTTATTGGGTGTTTTTCCTGAGTGTGGTACTTCACACATTAATGCATGTTTTTTAAAGAAAGGGAGGAAAATGTCCTCAGCTTACCTCAAACTAGGAGCCCCTCTTCATTTTCAAGCACATTTTATTGTGTGTGGTAATCAGATTGTGTTCTAAACATTACTTTTGTGTGCACACCCTCTGTGGTTCAGAGGCGTGTGACACAGCACGAGCCCCCAGGGGCAGCTGCCAAGTCTTGGAGGCAGGACATCCGAGTACACACCGCAGTGCTGACTCCACCTTACCGCGGTCCCTGTCCGTGGTTCTGTGGTACTGCCTCCCACGGGCAATAAAAATGCAAATTCGAAGCAACTTGGATTTAGTTAGCAAACCAGAAGCCAGCCGAGTTAGCAAACAAACAGAAAAGAAGCCCCTCTCCCACTCCTGGGCTATCACGTTTAAGCCCAGACAGTCCCCCGAAAGCTGGACGGCAGGAGTTCGTAAGAAAATGAACCTCAGAGACGTCAGAACAGAGGTGAGTGTGGCAGGGGCGGTGACCCCCGCTGTGGCCAGGAGGGCTCTGTGGCCTGTAGAAATCAGGCCTGGAGCTGCAATTTCCAAACTGCCTCTAATGGCGGTCAGAGGTAGCCAAGGGAGACAGTGAGTCTACAGTGTGGATTCGAACAGAATAAAATATTTCCGCCGCCCACGGTTTCTACACAGAGGGAAAGGAAAGAGGCAGAGAACAGGAAGGTGCTGAAGTCCTTTGCAAATGAAGGCAGTCCAAAAATGAGCCTTACATATGCAAAAGGGGAGGGCTACTTTTCTAGAAATGCTAGAGGAAAATAGAGAAATCTCTGAAGCTGTCAGATTTCAGAAGGCCAGCTATGAAGGCTGTTGGAGAAATACAGCCATGTTGCCAACAGAAAGAACCTTCCCTACCAACACAGAATAGAAATGCAACTTGTTGAGTCAACACCCACAGGTTTACAAGCGTGTGCAATTCCAGGGTGACGACAGTGTCTGTGTCACTGGGCTCACATTGGACTGGTAGGAAGACTTCAGTGAAGATTGGCGGGCGGGACCAAGACGTGCAGTGGAGGATCAACACTGAAGTTGACTCTGCTGAACGCAAGGCGGCGCAGTGTTTACGCAGCAAGCAGGTGGGACGGTGGAACGGACTGAGGATGAGAGAGCAGAGGCTGGTCGTGCTGATTTGTCTGTGTTCGCTAATTGTCACTTATCTAAATGGGATCCTGCCCTCCCAAGGAGACTGGGAGATAGGAAGCATTATCTTCCTTTTTTAATTAAATGGATTGGCGGGACATTGGTGACCAAGATTCTACGGGTTTCAAGTGTACGATGCGATGATACATCATCAGGATGTTGCGTTGTGTGCCCACCACCCAAAGTCAACTCTTCTTCCGGCACCCTATATTTGACCTCCTTTTACCCTCTACCACCCTCGCCCCCTTTTCTTCTGGGGACCACCATACAGTTGTCTGTGTCCATGAGTTTCTGTTTTCCGTGTTTGTTCATGTGTTGCTCTCCATCATATAGCCCACATACGAGTGAAATCATCGGGTCCTTGAGTTTCCGTTTTGCTTAACATGATACTCTCAGGATCCAGCCATGTTGCTGCAAATGGCACTATTTCATCTTTTCTTGGATCTAAGTAGTATTCCATCGTTACGGGATGGGGCAAAAGTAGGTCTACAGTTGTTTGTAGGAAAAAGAATACAATAACTGATCATAATAGCATAAGTATAAGCACTGTGGTGTTCTGTGTCCTCACAGCTGTCAACCTGCCTTGGCCCCACCCTGTCTAGGTATCCCATCTTTACCCAATCATCTATCAAAGACACTTGGTTGTTTCCATGTCTTGGTCCACAGTCGGG